GACAGGCCTGTTTCCTGTCAGTCTGCCCCAGGGCAGCTACAATAGAAGCTAAACACCACCAAGTGTGGAGTGAATGAACAATGAACTGTGAAGCACTTTGGGCATCTTGAAAGGTGCTATTTAAATACAATAATTAACAATTAATAATCCTAAAACAAGTGTCAGGCTGGAGAGGGAACATGTCCATAAACCAATTTAGCCGTTTTTGCAAATTTGCACATTAAGGGCGTCATAAGCCACCATCACCGTCCACCGGTGCTGCTGTGTTTGTTTTGCTCCTGTTGGTCCGGTGCTGGGGTTGTTGTCGTGTTGTATGAAACCCTCCTGCTGCTCGAGACGCCCTGTGATTGTTCAGACCATTTGCAGGGTTTGAATTTAAACCTTACAGCAGCAACACCTCAAGATGGATTCTCATGAATTTGTGAACTCACAAATACCAGAGAATCCATCTTTCTGTGCAGAGTTACACAAAAACTGCCAAATATTTAGAACTGCGGCTCTGGCCTTATTTTAACTGCTTCTCACAAATTTTCCCCAAACTTTATAATTATACAGTATTTCTCAAAACTATTATGAGGAGATGTCAAAGAAAAACTCTGCTATTATGACCAAGAGTCGGCTTTTTACTTTTGATTTATGCGGTAATATTAATCAGTCACAGTCCACTTGACTTCAAACTTGCCTCTATTCACCCCATAATTCCCTCAAATGTCACCAAATCCAATCTGCAGAACACTCTCCATCTGCCCTGGACCAGAGCGTGACCTGTGGAGCCCCCTCTGGTCCCTGCTCCTTCACCTCCCCCCGTGTCTCCAGCCCGTCGATCAAACTCAAACCTGTTGTCTGTTTCTAAATACGAGATCACGTGTGCATTTATTCAATTACAGTCGCTGCAAAAATACCTCAACTTGACCTGCTGCTGTCACCTTCTCCGTGGAGATTTATATCTAAACTGCACAACAACTCAGCCTTATGTCACAGATAATACTCCCTACAACTGTACAACAACTCACCTTTATGTCACAGATAATACTCCCTAGAACGGTACAACAACTCAGCCTTATGTCACAGATAATACTCCCTACAACGGTACAACAACTCAGCCTTATGTCACAGATAATACTCCCTAGAACAGTACAAAAACTCGCCCTTGTGTAACAGATAACCCTGTGTTCTGTCAATAATCATATCATTGTTGCTCTGTTTTCCCATGGCCTCTTGTATAAAGCTGAGATTTTATATTTTATTACGTATTTTTTAATTTTCTTTGACTTTCTTTGACTTTTCATTTATATAATTATGTCGTATTTGTGGCCTGTCTTGCTCTTTTTTGCTACTTACTTAGAATTTTTTATTACCATTTGTATTTTTGTTACTACTTGTTATTATTTTATCTTGTGATGTTTGAGTTTCTGTGTCCAAATAATTTGACTTGTGGATCAATAAAGTTAGTCAAAGTCCTAAGGTTCGTTCAGACCAGAGTGTCAAAGTGTCCAGTTTTTGTAAAGTCTATGTGGACGTGTGTCTAAGGTGTTTTTTTTGCGGCGCGTCTTCAGGCGTCAGAGCGGCATGAATCTGGCATCGACGCTCTAGACGCGCGTCCAAGGATTCAGAGTCAGAAGTTGAAAATGCTGAACTTTTCGTGTCCGACGTCAACAGTGCTGGGAAGGTGACTTTTAACCCTCTCCAGGCAGGCGTTGCAGATTTGCAACAGCTAAATTCCAAGTACCTACTTACTCCACATCCATATTTTATGATATTTTTTTCTCCCATCCATGCTGATAAACGTGGGCGATGCAGACTGTGCAAGAACGACTACACACCTGCCAGAAGTGCAAAATACTTTTTTTGTTTACAAAGGATAAAAAAGTCAGAATTGTATATTACTACCCCATATTATAATTTTCCCCAAATATCAGATTTTTCCTGATACTAAAAATTAATTTGAGCCTGAGAGGGTTAAAATGTATTCACCTACAGATTACAGATTACACACACCAAAATGTAGTTTGTAACGTAATCCGTTAAATTACTTTAAGTGAGTAATGTAATCTGAATACTTTGGATTACTTGATTTGCTGTAGAGAAGCAAAGACCAGGAAATCATAACAGGAGATGTTTTGTCTGTTAATAGAAAATAAAAAAGCCCAGACTTTACTGAACCAAATTAAAAATATTATTGATAGAAGAAGAGGAGACACGTCCGCGCAACATGGTTTAGTCCTGTTAAATTCTCTTTTAGTCCTGTTTTAGACCTGGTTTTAGACCTATTTTAGACTGGTTTAGATCTGGTTTAGACCTGGTTTAGATCTAGTTTAGACCTGGTTTTAGTCCTGGTTTAGACCTGGTTTAGTCCTGGTTTAGATTTTTAGACTGGTTTTAGTCCTGGTTTAGATCTAGTTAGACCTGGTTTTAGTCCTGATTTAGATCTAGTTTAGACCTGGTTTTAGTCCTGGTTTAGATCTGGTTTAGACCTGGTTTAGTCCTGGTTTAGATTAGTTTAGACCTGGTTTAGTCCTGGTTTAGATCTAGTTTAGACTGGTTTTAGTCTGGTTTAGATCTAGTTTAGACCTGGTTTTAGTCCTGGTTTAATCTAGTTTAGACCTGGATTTAGTCTGGTTTAGTCTGTTTAGACCTGGTTTTAGATCTAGTTTAGGTTTTAGTCTGGTTTAGATTAGTTTAGACTGGTTTAGTCCTGGTTTAGATCTAGTTTAGACCTGGTTTTAGTCTGTTTAGATCTGGTTTTAGTCCTGGTTTAGATCTAGTTTAGACCTGGTTTTAGTCTGGTTTAGATTAGTTTAGACCTGGTTTTAGTCCTGAAGATCTAGTTTAGACCTGGTTTTAGTCCTGGTTTAAAACTGAGTTGGTTTAAAGTTTAGACCTGGTTTTAGTCCTGGTTTAATCTAGTTTAGACTGGTTTAGTCCTGGTTTAATTAGTTTAGACCTGGTTTTAGTCCTGGTTTAAATCTAGTTTAGACCTGGTTTTAAGTCAAATCTAGTTTAGAGTCCTGTTTTAGTCCTGGTAAAAGACCTGGTTTTAGTCCTGAAAAGACCTGGTTTTAGTCCTGGTTTAATCTAGTTTAGACCTGGTTTAGTCCTGTTTAATCTAAATCCCTGCTAGTGTAGTCTGATCCATTTAGTTTCTGAACTGAAAAAAAGAAAAGAAAAAAAAAGGGGGGGATATAGTCCAAAATGCGAAAACAGGAAAGCAGGAAAATACCAACGTGTAATCCATTTATTTCAACAAAGTAACTGTAATCCAATTACCACTCATTGAAACAGTAACTGTAACTTGTACTGTGATTACGTAACTCCAGTACATGTAATCTGTTACTCCCCAACACTGCACGTCAACCAATCAGGGACGAGTATCCAGAGACGTAGACGTCAGCACAGCAAGAAGATTCCGGGTTCGGTCCCCAGGTCTCTACAGCCTGGTACAATCTCTCCTGTTCAAGTTCATGTACAAACTGTGCACTGTCCCTGTGTCATTAAAGAAAGAAAGAAAGAAAGAAAGAAAGAAGGAGAAAGACCCGAGAACTGGAAAAGAAGACACAAACATTAGCAAATTATAAATATATACGCCACAATCAAAGAACCGATCGCGAGGACTAGACCATTACAGGACCGGGACTAAACCAGGACTAAACAAGGACTAAACCAGGACTAAACCAGGACTACACCAGGACTAGACCAGGACTAGACCAGGACCAGACCAGGACTAGATCAGGCCTGGACTAGACCAGGACTAAACCAGGACTACACCAGGACTAGACCAGGACTGACCAGGACCAGACCAGGACTAGATCAGGCCTGGACTAGACCGGGACTAGACCAGGACTAACCATGGACTAAACCATGACTAAACCAGGACTAAACCAGGACCAGACCAGGACTAGACCAGGACTGGACTAAACCAGGACTAAACTGGACTAAACCAGGACTAAACCAGGACTACACCAGGACTAGACCAGGACTAGACCAGGACTGGACTAAACCAGGACTAAACCAGGACTAAACCAGGACTAAACCAGGACTAAACCAGGAGTAAACCAGGAGTAAACCAGGACTAAACAGGACTAAACCAGCCCGGGACCAGACTAAACCAGGGACTAAACCAGGACTGACCCAGTATCATACATATATATTCGCCGCAGCCGCTGACCCGATCTCCTCCGCTGATGGTTTTATGTAATAAAAACACTAAAGTCACTCTCTCAGTTTGGTCTGACATCGTTTCAGGAAAAGACCAAGACCGGGCACTTGTTTCCAAGGCAACGGACCCTAACCCTTTTCGTCCACGGCGTCCAAGACAAGCGTCGGGGCGTCTAAACTCAAATGCAATAGAGGCGTCCAGGGCGTTTTTTGACGCTCTGGTGTGAACGGTCCTTAAGTCTATGTGTTTAGTCAGATGCACATCACCTGCTTGTTTCTATGGATACGTCATCGCTCTGCCTGGAATGTTCCACAGTGTGACATTAAACAGCTCTATCTTAGATTTATTCACTTACAGGTGGTTTTATAGCTCAAAAATACCAAGAAAAACAGACATTCTGACTGTGAGCGGGGTCGCCTCTCCACAGATCTGACCTGTAACTGTGCTAAAGAGGTTAAATATTACAATCTAAAGCACCTGTAAATATATTCGTTAGTTTCTTCGAATAAACTTGCTTTTCATTTGCTTCCCCACTTTACTTTCGCACTTTTATTCCTCCGGCGTGACTTCAGACATTTCATCACGCCAGCCGTTCAACCTTGACTTCGTAATCCTCACTTATTTGTCTTCTTGGCCCAATTGCGCTTAAAATAAAAAACGACTTCCTCTCCTCCAGCTCTGCCTCTCCACGTTAATAAAACCTCTGGCCTTGAGAGCGTTTCGCCAGCTCCTATCTTCCTCTGCCGTGTCTTATCTTCTGCCCGTGTCCTTCGTGGAGGCCTATAAAAGCGGAGAAGAGGCTCAGGCGCGTCGCTATCACTGCCTTATACACACAAAGTATAAGATGCTGCCGGCGGTTGTCAAGCTTTGTTGTGGCATCTCCTATCCTCACCTCAGGAGCATGACAGGTAGATCCTCTCTCACCTTTCTTGTTTTAATATCCGCTTTAATGTGACAGATGAGGAATGAGGTGATAGCTTTTCTAATGTAATGTAAATTGGACTTGTGATTTGAATGAGAAAAGAGAGTTGTTTTGAATTTGTTTTGAATTTGAATTGTTTACCGTGATAAGTTACTCCGGAGTTTAAGTCGCACGAGCCAAAAAATGCGTAATGAAGAAGAAAAAAACGTATAAATTGCACTTTTTGGGGGGAAATTTATTTTGTAAGATCAGAGACCAGGAGCTGACATTTTATCTTGAAAGTCCAGTTCTAGTAAAAACAACAGAAGAGAGAAGAACAGACTGTTAACGTCACATATGAACAGTTCTTCACATAAACTATAACATAAACAACAGAACAGAACAAGTTAAACAAACTCTCCATCTCACTCCAAATCACTAAATCCATTCAATTCTTCATCCTCTGTGTCACTTCTACTACACAGTAACACGTTACTGTAGCGCGACTACTTTTTTCAGTAACGACTCGTCTAACTCAGTGCTATTTCCAAACCAGTGTCAGATTTATGTTACTTATCCAATACACTGTGCGTTACTATTTTTGCGTTTCAAAGCGACGTAGTTTATTTATTTATTTTTATTTTTGGTGACGTGGGTCATGTGACCCCAAAGATCGTATAAATCGTCTCTGGTGACACGTTTCCTGTGATGTTACGTCATCTCCGCTCCTCCACGAGTCAGATGTAAACAACGGAGGGAGAGAGGGACGACTTTTGCAGCTGGAAATACAAACAGCCGCAAAAGGTGGGGGATCTGAAAGTAACTAAAAAAGTAACTTGTAATCTAACTTAGTTACTTTAAAAAGCAAGTAGTCAGTAACTTAACTAAGTTACTTTTTAAAGAAGTAATCAGTAGTCAGTAGTCAGATTACTATTTCAAAGTAACTATGGCAACACTGTCCGTGACCTCCGGAAGTGCAGCTTCCTCTTCTGTGTCGCTGTCGTCAGACTCAGCATCAGTTCCAGTTAGAATTATTCTGGTCTTTCTGAATCCCGACAGGATGGTTTCTGTGTCACTGAAGTCCAGACTTTGTCCATCCATCCAGTGACTTCAGGAAAGTTTCATGGTTCATCCTCCCGGTGTCACAAGTTTCTCTCTCACTCCAAACTTTCTTTCTGCTGCTCGATTATTGTTTTCAGCTGCAGATTTCATGACTTGCAGTTTATAATCTGCAGAATATGATTTTCTTTCTGGGGGCATTTGTGTTCAGTTTTCTCAGTTGTCTTTTTAACTTTGTTTAAATGTAAAATTTTCAGTGTTACAGAAGTAATGGTTTGATCGACTGACATGATACAGACAGGACAGAGGCTCTTTCTGCAGGAGACATGCGCAGTAGAGCCAAGTGACAGTGGTACAGGAGGAACAGGATCAGGACTAGAACCTCTCGACGCTTCACTGTGAACATTTTAATATATAAGTTGCACTAGAGTATAAGTCGCAGGAAACACCCAAACCATGAAAAAAAACCTGAAAAATAGGGTACATACGTCAAATATATGAAGTACGATATATGGAAGTAAGTATCAAATAAAAAAGGTAAATAACTCAACTATTGAAAGGTTTTATGTAAACTTTAGTATAAAATCTTTTCTCCTCATTAAAAACTACCTGGAGTTTTGTTTTGTTTCATGGTTTAATCCTGCAGCTTCAGACGGTCTCTTCAGAGCTCTAAATCTGAATCCCATTAAGTCACCGGAAACACCTAAACCATGAAAAAAAGTGCGACTTATAGTCCAAAAAATACGGTAAATGAGTTTAGTAAAGGTACGTCGCGCAACTTTTTTGATGGAGGGTCCGTCATCTGCTTGTCTTCATGGAGATATTTATTATTATTTGTTTTACTGAATGTTTCCCAAGGTACATAACAGGTCAGATCTGTGGAAGGGCAACCGTTTTTACAGAATTTACAGAAGGAATTACTGTATTTTAGAGCAATAGAAACATCCGAGAATGACTAAACGTTGGATAGATGATAGATGAGTCGTACCATGGGACATTCCAGGCAAACCAAGAACATCTCCATGGAGACAAACGCCACATTCGTGCTGGGAAACGTGGGCGTCTTGCCTAAGGAGCCGCGTGTGATTGTGTTGCTGTGTGTATTTTCAGGTCTGCAGCGGGCGGCCGTGGCAGTGATAGGCCAGGAGATCTCACACCTGCACACGAGGAGACAGGTGCACCATCACCTCAAGGCCCACGCAGCCCAGTGGAACGGTACGGAGACCTCATTTCAACCTTTCTTCATCTTTTATGCATCCGTTTGTGGTTATTTGAGTTCAATTAGCGCCAAGATAAATAGGAAATAACAACAAAAATGCTAAAACAACAGTGAAATCCTTAAAAAAATTTGACTTTTCTGCTCTGTCACCTGCTGTCACCATGAAGATTTTATTAGAAATGCACAAATACAATATCATAGAACTATAATAAAATCTGAAAGGCGTTGTATTGTTTTCATCGGCTGGTTTCACTTTGTGGAAACCGTCTGACCTCGCAGCATTAGGATTCATTCGCTCGACAGTAAGCGGGTACTTTTTTATTTAACCAATCGCTGCTATTTGGTCGTGACATCTGTAATGCGCCAAATCCCGTAGGAAGAAGGGCAATAACGTCTTTCCTAGGGGTGTAACGATATCACGATAAGTCTCACGATACGATATCATCACGGTACGATATTTATTGCGATATCGTGGGAAAGCTCACGATTAGAGATGTAACAATATCCAAATCTTTCGGTACGATATTTTCACGACATACATCTCATGGTACGATATTTATTGCGATATTTTGTGGAGACTAAACAGCTAAAACTGTTAATATGCTACTTTTTCCTCTTAAAATGTCTTGACAAGACTTCAAATCCAAAGAACTAAGACTTAAAAGTGCTTAGAACTGTTATTTCTTCTTGTAGTCTGCACTGAAATGGAGCAAAGGATCATGGTCTATGTAGTTCCCTCTGTGTTTTTTTTAGTTATTGCTGCACCTTAACTCTTCATTTAAGCAAAGAAACTTGTAATTTGATATATTGTGATGGTTCACAGTATTATTGTGAGAACTTTGATGGTGCGATATCACGATATTTTGGTTACATCTCTAGTCTTTCCCCTTCATAAAATTCACCAAACATTCTCTTTGTTCCGGCTTTAAATTCTCGATCTCAGGAATCGTTGCCAACACAGAATGTCTGTCTTCGTCTACATTCATCTCGACGCTTTGTTTACTGTTGTGCTGTTCCACAAAAGGAACCCAGACAGGTGCTAGAGTTTAACGTCATGGCTTCACAGCTCTTCGGTCTACAAATTCTGGGGTTCTTGCAAACCGTCCAGTGTATTCTGATTCCTGACCTCGGGGAGAAATAAAATTGAGTGGAGGCACTAGGTGGCGCCAGCCTGACTAGCTCATTGGTGCATGGGCAGAAAAATAATTTTCTCTTCTGCATTTACCTCCTCAATAGGGGTGAGCTCCTCCCACCCGTGTGACGTCTGTAAAGTGCACAGCGTGGAGCGTTTGAACCAATCAGAGCGAGAGATGCTAGAGTGGAGCTAGTGCGGGCTCAGAGCGGGGCGAGGCCAAGTCTTACAAAGATCACTTTTAGGTGCTTTTAGGATTTCAATTTTTTTAAAAGTTTATGTTGTGAAAACAGAAAAGAATCCAAACAAAATCCAACCTTTGTGAAAGCTGGATGCCCTGTCAGCTGAACACAGACAGTTTGAATTCCCAAAAAATCCATTGTGCTTCTATGGGAAAATTCCTTCTTGGCCCAACCTCTCAGGAGCTGCAGTACCTGGAGCGGCCACTAGTCTGGAGCGAGAGGGGAAATGTCTTATCCAGTTTTATTGGATCCATGTACGATATTGGTATCGGATATTAACAACGATATTTTTTGTGTATTGGCTCTCAGCTTCCAAGATAACGGTTCAGACGATGTCTCAGTTTGGTCTATGAACTGGTGTAAATGTTGCATTGCAAAAAACAAAATCTAGTCAAGTTAAGTTGACTTGAGTTATGAAAGTTCTATAATGATTTGCTTAAATTTCACTTAACAAGTAAAATTATCTGCCAGTGGACTAAAACTTTTTGTTTTTAAAATATGAAAATACATCTGGCTACACTTAAAATAAGAAAAACAACAACTTTTTGCACTTAAAATATGAAACTAAATTGAATGTTGCTTGAATTAAGAAAAACACACTTATTCCATTGGCAGATCATTTGACTTGTCAAGTTGAATCGACTCAAATAAAGTAAAATTTTCTATTCAATTTTATTTCAATTTAGCTAGATTTTTTTTTTTTTCCAGTGTGGCCTAAAACTTGTATTTTTATAAAGCTGTTCTGAAGTTACAAAACACATTTGGATATTTTTTTTAATTAAGCTGTTTGTGTTTAAAGGAAATTAATTATATTTTCAGTCTCTACACTAGTATTGATTGATACTTGATTGATAAAGTCTTACATTGGTGTTGGAACTGAAAAGCTGGATCGGTGCATCCTTAGATGTTTTTACCTTCATGTAAAGTTCCACAGAATGACATTTATAGATCTGAAATTTATTCAATTACAGTAAGGATGTAACAAAATCAAAATCACTTGTTACGATATTATCACGATATGCATCTCACGGTACGATATTTATTGCCATATTTTGTAAAGGCTGATATAATTATATATAGGACACTTTTTTGCTTTTCAAATACCTTGACAAGATTTTGGTGTGAATTATTTTCATCATAATCCCAAGAATTCAAGTAAAAAACATATTTCTTCATGTTGTTTGCGCTGAAATGAATCATGGGAAATGTAGTTTCCGATGTTTATGAGCTGTTCTTACTGTAAAACCATGCATTTACGCAAAAGAACTTGTGATTCGATATATTGTGACAGCCCACGATATTATTGCGAGACTTTTGACGATACGATATCACGATATTTTTGGTTATTTTTTCTAAATTAGAGGCATTTATGTGGCAAAACGAAATCATCTGAAAAACATGCAATCTTACTGAGAACGGCAAATTAGTAATATTTTCGTAAACCATGTTGGTGTGCGGTACATGTCTTACGTTTTAAGAATTCAGAACTCATTTCAAACTTTCCGCAGTCAGGTCAAAGGTCGTGTTAAACTTGAGCCATGTCCAGCAGCAGTTTTCATTAAAATTCTCAACTTCTTCTGCGACAAACATCTGAAACGATTAAAAAAGTGAAATATTCCAAAGTTGGGAAAAGTTCGTCGTGTTTTTCCCCTTTTGGCTTTTTTGGTGCCAACTCCTTACATAACTGGCAGATGTTTTAAAACTTTTTCTGCGTTTTTATTTCCATCATGAGATAACGGGCTCGAGGATGTTTGGCTGTAATTAGACCAGATTACAACTGTGACGCTAATTATCCAATCACTGATGGCTTTAATCACAAATCCGGTTATCACGGCACAATATCTGCGTCTGGAAAACACACAGAAACTACCGGCTATTCTCAAGTGAAAATTTGCAGCTGAAATCATTAACAGTCCCTGGGGTGTGACGCTAACTGCAGGCCCTGCTCTGTCTGAGGGTTTATTAGACGTTAAAGGGGTCAGATCTATGGAGAAGCGAGGCCTGTACATGTTTTTTTAAGGTATTTTTGAGCTCTAAAACACCTCTAATTGAACAAATCACTGGAAAAAAACGATCAAGTTTTTTTTTTTTTCCACAGAGTCCAAGTCATTTGAGTTTGAGTATCTGCCGATACCGAGTCCCGATCCGATACTTCTATAAAACATAGCAAAGAATAAGATCCAGATCAGATTGTGTTGATTTCAATGTGTAGTATTTGGGCTGAACTTGAAATATCAAATGTCCAAAACTTTAATTTGATTTTAACTTTTCTAATCATTCATCATCATTGTTGAAAATCTGGACTTTTACCACAGTCTGGTCTTGGAATGTGTAACTTAGTAAACTTAATGAACTGGACAAAACAGGAACCAGACCAGAATCAGACCAGATATATGGAAGCCTGTGCATTACATTTGAAACATTTAGACTCGTCTATGATCTCCAAATAATCTTACCAAATAATCTTACCAAATAAAAACAAGATGACATTTATTTTTCAGACTTTACTTAACCATATTAAAAATATTATTGATAGAAAAAGAGGAGACACATCTGCTCATCTTTAGTCCTGTTAAATCCTGTTTTAGTCCGGGGTTAGTCCTGGTTTTAGACCTGGTTTAGATCTAGTTTAGCTCTAGTTTAGACCTGGTTTTAGTCCTGGTTTAGATCTGTTTTAGATCTAGTTTAGACCTGGTTTTAGTCCTGGTTTAGTACTGGTTTAGTCCTGGTTTAGACCTGGTTTTAGTCCTGGTTTAGATCTAGTTTAGACCTGGTTTTAGTCCTGGTTTAGTACTGGTTTAGTCCTGGTTTAGACCTGGTTTTAGTCCTGGTTTAGATCTAGTTTAGACCTGGTTTTAGTCCTGGTTTAGTACTGGTTTAGTCCTGGTTTAGACCTGGTTTTAGTCCTGGTTTAGACCTGGTTTAGATCTAGTTTAGACCTGGTTTAGTTTCCGGCAATGAGTGGAATTACCCAAAATAGCCCAAAATGTGAAAACAGGAAATACCGCCGTGTAATCCATTTATTTCAACAAAGTAACTGTAATCCAATTACCACTCACTGAAACAGTAACTGTAACCGAATACAGTTACTCATAATTTGTACTCTGATTACGTAACTCCGGTACATGTAATCTGTTACTCCCCAACACTGAGTATTACAGTATAATGTGGTTTAATACTATATTCACCTGCAGTAAGACTAGAGTTTAAGACTGTAGTTACATCTGTGCCGACCCTCGATAAGGACCACGAAGTGTGATCATATTTCATTACAGCCGCTATTGTCAGCAATAAAATTGTACAGGTGTGCGAGAGCGTGTGGGGCGTCTCAGTGCAGCCTGTGCGCTCATTTGAAACCCGCGGAGACTCTACGGCGCATCACAAACACACACGCTCCCTATGCACGGCTCGTCTGCGACAGCGTGTGCCCTCGTGTACCAGCGTGCATCACAGGGCAGGTTCAACTTCCTAAACATCCTACCTGTCCATCTGCCTCACGTCAGCACGCCGCCCCTCGCCTTTTCACGCTCTCGCTCCTTCCTGCGTACAGCCAACACAAGCCCCTCCCACAGTGCGGCTGATTAGAAGAGCAAGACCAAACGTGAAGCAAAAACCAGTCTAAATTTGTGTTACAGTGTTGGCACAAAGCAGGTCTACAGCATAGAGCGGATCTACAGAACAGACCTACTGCCACATTTGGCTGAAGTTTGTCTAACAAAAGTGCACAAATGCATCTGTGTTTGTCACGATGTGCGTTTGGTTTGGTAAACGTGCAGAGGCTGGTAAATATCACTGCAAAACCAGAAAAGAATGAAACTCCAGTTTGGAACTTTAAAAAACAGGTTTAAAAATCTTCCTTCACTTTTTTCACAGTTTTGTGTAAAGTGCCAGAGGAAGTTCTCTTAAAGAAGAGGTTCTCAAACTGTGGGGGAGGGTCCAAAAAAGGGGCACAGAGTGTTTCAGTGCAGTTTGCTTGACTTTGTATTAGGTAGATCATTTTGACTTGGTCATTTTATAAGTAACTCACATGATGAAAAAGTGTGAACACCTCTGTGTTCTGATTCATGACCTAGTAACTGGAAAGAAATGAAGTTGAGTGGAGGCACTAGGTGGCACCAGCCTGACTAGATGTACTGTACATGGCTTATGTTTTAGGAATTCAGAACCAAATTCAAACTTTCTGGATTCAGGTCAAAGGTCACATTAAACTTGAATCATGTCCACCAGCAGTTTTCATTAAAATTCAAAACTTCTTCTTCTTCTAGCTGATTTAAAAAGTGAACTATTGTAAAGTTGGAAAAGTTCGTCGTATTTTGACCTTTTGACTTTTTGGTGCAAACTCCTTACATAATTGGCAGGCTCGAGGTGTTTTGTTGTAATTATACCAGAACCTTGACATTATTTTCTGATCTATGTTTTAATGTTGTTTCCTCGTCATAAACAGACCTGGAGTTGTGTTTTGTTTCATTCACACACACAGAAACCCTGCTGAGTTCTTCTCTTAAACTGAAAAAACAAAAACTGTTTCTGATAACATGACGTAAAGCTCACTAGAGTCCATGTTGCATAATACAGGACCTTTAAAAACATATCCAGAATGTGATGCACGAGCCGTTTCGTAATCTCCATTAGATTTTCTCATAACAATAATAATTGTGACTGTATGTGGAAAGTTGTGTCTTTTTGTTCAAGTTTTTATCTTTTGTTGATAAAAACGTGTAGACATGAAGAGAGACAGCGTGGAAAGAGATGATTCAAGGAAGTTTAGGTTGCAGATCTCATAGACTTTTAATATAATAGGACTTACGGTGCATGTGGCAGGTTTCATGTGTTTTATTATTATTATTATATACTTCACTAGCCTTTCCATCATTATTAGGACTGAGTATCATTAAGAAGTTGCCGATACGATACATATCTCAATACAGTGCACTTTCCATTCAGTACGATATATTTCAAATTGATTCGATACGGTTCAGTAAAAAATAAAGGCTAAATCATGACTGTGATACTAAAAGTCTTTGTTAAACCACTTCTCGTGCAAAGTTCATTTAAGACGCAAACATTTTAAACATCGAAACAGTGAAAATGTCAAATGTGCTGCATAAACAAGTTTTTTTCCTCGAAACAAGCAACAAAACCGCTTTCACTTCGTAGAAACCGTTTGACCTCGCAGCATTAGGATTCGTTCCCTCGACAGTAGGCGGGTACTTTTTTAATTTAACCAATCGCTGCTATTTGGTCGTGACGTATGTACTGTAATGCGCCGCTAACAGGGCAAACTGATATATTAAGCTTTTCCCAAATCCCGTAGGAAGAAGAACAATAACGTCTTTCCCCTTGATAAAATTCACCAAACATTCTCTTTGTTCCGGCTTTAAATCCTCGATCTCGGGAATCGTTGCCAACACAGACTGTCTGGCTCTTCGTCAATTGGCTGGTGCCCGGACTTGCACTTCCGGGGATTTTGCGAACCGTCTAGTGTATTCCGATTTCTGACCTAGTCGCTGGAGAGAAATTAAATTGAGCAGAGGCACTAGGTGGCGCCAGCCTGGCTACAAAACTGTATCTCTGTAACAAAATAATTCAGTAAAATACACCAAAAAAATACTCTGGGTGATACATTGATACAGCAGCTCATGATATTGGTACTGTATCAGCACATTAAACAATACGATATATCGATATTTACCTCCGCCAAGGAGGTTATGTTTTTGCCGGCGTTTGTCTGTTTGTTTGTTTGTTTGTTTGTTTGTTTGTCTGTTTGTTTGTTTGTTTGTCTGTTAGCAACATAACTCAAAAAGTTATGGACCGATTTTGATGAAATTTTCAGGATTTGTTGGAAATGTGAAAAGGAAGAACTGATTTCATTTTGGGGGTGATCCGGAAGAAATCCTGGATCACTTTGAAATTTGAGAGTTAACATTGTGTTAAATGGGGCAAAAAATTTTGTTTCTCAATATCTGGGTTAATTATTGACCAAACCCCATGAAATTTGACTCAGGGATGGACAATGGGATCCTCTTTCATATTCCAAAGGCTGATCCGGATCTGATCCAGAAGACTGATTTTATCGCAATTTATATCAAAAATGGGGGTAGTCCTTGGCGGAGGTCTGCGCTCTCTGACTGCTTTTCTAGTTGAGTATTTTTGCACACCCCTAATCATCATGGAGCCCAAACCAAACCAAGTTACAGGTGAGATTTGTGGAGAGGCGACCACTCTCCCCATTCACAGCCTGTTTTTCTTGGTATTTTTGAGCTTTAAAACCACCTGTAATTGAATAAATGT